GCATCACCTTTGATCACCATGGTCTCTCTCTCTCTCTCTCTCCCCCCCCNCCCCCCCCCCAATTATCTAAGCATGATCCCCCTCTGTTCTTATTTTGCAAAATAAATAGATTTAATTGTTTCCCTCCGCTATGTTAAAAGCAAGAACTTTTAAGATTATAATTTCTGGTGTTTTACCGGTCATGCAAATGGTTACTTTAATTTGGTAAGGACCCCATTTTTATTCTTCTGCAAATTTTTTTTCTTATGTTTAAATAATGATCCCAACCTTTTCTCTACTTTCTTCTTTTATATACATAGATGTATGTTGAGTTGCTTTCAATCTCCATTATTGCAAATGTGTAGGTTCTTCACTATTACCAACAAAATATGGATGAGGGGACTTGGGCAATCATAGATTTTCCAATAGATAATTTTCATGACAATATTCAGTCCCATTTTCCTAGACACAAAGACAACCCTTTGGTTGCATTACCCAAGATATGCCTAAAGGATATACTCCAAGGTGAGATTTAATATTCCACTTATGTCGATATCGTATGTTGTTCTCATCTTTGTAATTACAAATTCAAAGAAATTTATTTTTTTTGCAGAAATGTAAGTGGGATACAAACTCACTTTTTTTTTATAAAGAAAACCCTCTGATTCTCTTGTCACGAACACAACCCAAACTTGTACTTGTAGCTTGTCACGGACACGATCTGAAAAGTTTGACAACATGTAGTTGAAGAAAGAACTTGTAACGATCAATTGTATGCACACAAGATAGGAGAATTTTCTTTCTTTATTGTTTTTTTTTGTTGTAGTAATTTGATGAAGCTTTTGATTGCAGCAACTTAAAGTCCAGAATCCTTTAGCCGACTTTGCACGAAGTTGTAACGGTTTCGAAGCTTCAATGGTTGAGGAGCCAAAATTCTGATTCTTCTTCCCTTGATCTTGGTGCAGCCTGTCTCTTCTTCTTTTTTTTCAAAAGCAATAAAAGTAAAGGAAAGGAATTGGGTACCCGAAGGGGAGAAAAATATCTTTAGTTGGGCACACTTCCCAACATGCATGCAGCTATCACCATTAATCTTAAAACTTCATTTCTAACAAAATGCTTGAAAGCGGCAACATGCAGGCGTTGAAATCATTTCTCCTTTTTTTATTTTATTTTCTATCAAAGAAGCTTCTCTTGATCACCTTTTAGAGAGAGTCGGAGGAGTGCTAGAGCTTCTTCTTGTTTTCTCCTCTATTTATCGATTCATCCTTAGTCGATGAGCGGGTCCAAAGGATTTAAATTGATTTGAATCCACCAATCATTGTTGCAATTTAATGTTGGTTGACATGGAACCCACAAATTGATTTGAAAGGAATTTTCTTAATTATAATTTTGTATTATTTGGGAAAATTGGTTGGTTTGAGATCTCCAATTAACAAATCGATGATCTTTGTATAAATAAGGTTGATTGGAAGATGTTTGTAAAGGTGCCACTTGTCAAGAAATTAGGGCCCACATAAGGAAGGAAATCCATTAATTGAATTAAGCTAATCCTCTTTGAATAATCCAATCAAATTTTCCTTTTAACCAAATTGTTAATTAGGCATGGTTGCCAATCAATTGGGCCCCACTAAAATTGATTAGAGAAAATCTCTCTAATTGATTTAAGAGTTTAAGAAAATCTTTCTAATTGCCATGAATGGTGGGCTTTGTCTCAATATTCAATCCTCTACGTGGTAGGTGTGAGCCCTACCTAACACACTCTTGGGTTTGGATCTAACGGTATATTTCTCTCTCTTTTTTTTTAACCCACTCAATTTTTTTGGGGGGGAATACATTAGCATCCAACATCTTTCTTGGGCCTAACAACTCCTTTTCATTCAATCTCATATTGGGTTCTATTTACTTCACTTCCTAGGCCCAAAATTTACATACCAACATATATATTTTGTTTTTGGGATCCTAATTTACTCTCAAAAAAGGGTTGTTTAATATTCATTTTTCCCCTTGCTATGTTCTACTCTTGCAATTGCATTTGTGAATTAGTAGATTGATGTTGTATTAAATATATATTTGTAGGTCTTTATTTACATTTTGTTATGACATCCTCTTACGTTTGCTTCCTTTATTTTCTTCTTTTTTGTTTTTATATTTTGCGGACAGAATTGGTTTCAAGTAGAAATTTTCCATCTATATTTGATTCACCTTAAACAAATGGCACCTTATTTGCCTCAGTGTGTGAGTTATATGCCCCGGACAATAGTTAGGTTTGATTCCCTTGGGATCTGTTTGGAAGGAGTACAAACGCAAATACGTAGAGTGCAAAACCTTATATTTTGTATGTATTTGTACTGTACATATTTGCATTTGTACTCTTTCCAAACTAATAATTGGGATTTGTGGGAGGCTTAAGGTCTTTGAAATGGCTCGTGTCTCCAATTGCAATTATCCATGGTGCTATCTTCCTAATTCTATTAAAAGTATGTATCTATGTTGGGTTGTGAGGTTTCTTCTTGAAATTGATTAATCCTTACATGCAGTTCCATGTTTTTTTGACCTATATCTTTAGTAATTGTGAGCATATTGCGATTGGAATGAATGCTTTGGGTGGTGGTGTGATCCTAGATGATTTTTAGTATTGTGGTGGTTCCTATGATTGTTTTGGATATAAAGGCAAAAGAGGATAGTATGTTTTGGGTAAGTCATGTGCCTAAAATATTTTGAAACTATGCAAATAATAGCATGGGCTTTCTAGAGCATACATATATATAATTGCTTTTTTAGGAAACCTAATCATCATTCTATTACTTCTTTGGGCAACTTCATAAAGTTTCCTACCAATGTGTAAGTGTAAGGCTATAAGACTCAGGGATGTGCCAGTTATCTCAAAAATTTGTGTTTGTAAAACTTTTTTTGTTCTACCACAAAGTTAGGTAATATATTCATTGAAAACTTCAAGAAAATTGAGGTCTTATATACATAGATTGAAAAACTAATCCACTAAAGAGTTTGAAAGAGTTGAGAAATTCTGTGAGTTTCCAGATTAAAGCCTATATCTTAAATTGGATATCATTAAACTTATATCTATAGGTTACTCATAGTAGATGTCTCATGCCCCTTTGATGAACCATGCAGGTACCAAAGGTGGAAAGAAGTATGACTCATTTGTAAAGAATTTGGAAACCTTAACCGTATATCCATGATTGATTCTTATTCATGTGTTTGATCAATAGCATGATTTTATTATTTTAGTTTTTTTAAATAAATCAAAATATTTTTAACCTTAAACAACCAAATAGTCCTTCAATTAATATATAAATAATTAAGTTCTCAAAAAATTGTATATTCATTTTTTTTACTTTGTATATATATCATGTATAAAAGATATTCTATCTTAAGAAATAATATAATGATATCGAGACGGATCATCTTTTTATATTTTTTTTATATATATATTCTCGTGCATCACACGCATGTCTTGCTAGTAATTCCAAAACGGCAAAACACGCCTGTCACAATATATATTTATTAGGTTATAGGGGTCTATATATATCGTTACTTGTTATTTCAGAGCGATAATGGTGACAAGAACCCCGTAGCAAATAACTGACTCGCATTGGCTCAAGATAACACCGAAGGACGCGAGTGAACTGCTATCTAAAGCTATCACATGATTTACTTGTATTGTATGTAGGAATCGTCACAAGAACTTTCTTTCTGTTAACCATGGTTTTCAAAATCGGACCGAAAAAACCGGCAACCGGTCAGGCCCCCGGGTCCGGTTATAGCGGTCAGCTTCATCTACGGCGGCCAGCATTTATTTTGCAGCAGGTCCAGCCGTCCAGCAGTAATAGTTACGGTAGTAACAGGTCCGGCGATCGATTTGCAGCGGCAACAGGCGATTTTGCAGCGGCGGGCGGGGGTTTCTAGCGGCAATAACAGTTGAAGGCTTGCAGCAGCACTTGCAACGGCAATCGCCTGCGACCAAGCCCAAGCCCACCGTCACAGTCACACTACCATTATCGGCGGTGACCATCTTTGTTGTTGGTGCCATGGCGGGGGCAGTGATAGCCAAGCTTGAGCATGTCAAGGAATTCATAGCTCAAAAACGCAGAAAATTTGCAGCCCCAATTAGCCCAGNTAGCCCAGAAGCTGCCGCAGTGCGAACCATCAGAAACTTGCGTAGTTTCCAGTATATTATTTCACTTAGCCTGCCTCTCCCATGACTTTCCGGACCAACCAACCCGRATCTGCCCTCGCAAGTCTCTCTGCATTTTGGGAGCAGAGCATGCAAAATTGAGCAATGGATCTTAGAAGCTTTGAACGGCACGACTCTTTCTGCACTGGCATTTGAGTTGTCTCCCCTCCTCTTTCAATCAACACACTCGACGTAGATAGCTCCGGTGGCCCTGGCTTCTGCCTCTATCAAGCGGCGACAGCCCCTATCCTCCCCTACCACGCCTCCCCAAGAACCCATTTTTCAGGATCTGTCTGGGCCATGATCTTTCTGAGCCTCTTGCAAAGACCTTTGGTGCTTGGAACCTTATTGACAGTGGTGGCAATTTCAAAACTGGATATATTCTGGTTCTTCCGATGATACAAATTACAAGCTTGACTGATTTTCTGTTGCTTCCTGACTTCCTGTCACTGCCCCGTTGGTTGTCATTGCCGATTTAATTGAGCGCTTAGTCCTTGGCATTAGAATCTTGGTCATCGTGATCATTGTTGAGCTCATCCGCACACATGCTGTGATTCACCTTCTTTTGTCACTTGGCATTGGAGTTAGAGATGATGACGAGGATTTCCAGAGTAAAGCTAATTGAATTCAGTCTCAGATTCTCCAACAATGTCATAGTCATCTAATAATCTGTTGGTTTTAAATTTTATTCATGTTGGTTTCCTTAGTTGTTAATTATTTAGATAGGTTCCTCAGCTTGACTTGCTCAATGCCCAACAAGTATGTAGAGGGAATACTTGAAACCCCCACTCTGACTGCAACCAACCAAAGTTCAAACATCACAAACTAGAAGATACCAAGGATATTATAATAGGACATAAATAATTGGCTCGTAGTCGAACTGTCAAAGACATGGAAACTATGGAATACAACAGTACGGCTTAGGGGTACCCGAACAAAATCCCCAATTTAAGGTAAAAATAAATAAATAAATAGAAAAAACAAGAATAGTATAATAGCAATAACAGCAACAAAAAACATGACCTTAGTACAAAATTCCAAATTGGATTATACTGTACATATACATGTGACAGAACACCCATGCCATCAATAATGGCACCGGTATCCATTGGCTCCAATATTAGGCAGTTAAGCGGTTAAGCAACCAGTCATTCCAGAACAGCAACCTCTTGATAATAGTTAGCATCATTGAACTCAAACATACTTGTTCCATCCTCAGTGGATTTGCCCTCTGATAACTTAGGGTCATGATTTCTCTTCAAGAACCCTGCCTCCCCAACTATCCCCTCTTTCAAGGTCTGTACCATTGCCTTCTCTCTGTCCTCTACTTCCATGCCAACAAATTCAGCATCTTCCTTGAACAATGACGATACAGTAGCCATCTTACTTGCATCAGCCCCCACAGGCCTGTCACTGGAACCCACAGCATTCATGCTATCATTTCGTGTTTTGACCTTTCCATCAGAAAATGATTTGATGTTAGTCCCAGTGGCATCCATGGGAGTAGAAAGATTAACATCAGAGTCGCCATTACCACTTGAAGGATTCCTCTCTGACCTGCCTACCTCTAAATCCAAAGACTCTTGCCATCCCACCCAATCAGGAAAAGCCCTATCACCAAATGGCTTGCTACTGTCTGATGTTGCAACTTGGAAGAAACCAAGATCAGCAGAAGAGCTTGTCTTCTCACTCTGGGGGTTCAAATCTTGCCCATTCACTGGACCATTATTAGCACATTCACCCAGGGCATTTTTGTTGGATCTGGATTCCCCATTCATGGGAGCTGCACTGTTAGCCAAATCCTCATCCTCTCCAACCACCACTTCATCATCACTATGGTTGCTGCCACCATTTGCTGTGCAACTTAAATTGATCTTGTCCATCTTCTCAGATTGGGAAGTGCTCAAATGCTCACCACCAATTTTATCATCTCGAAAAGCAAACCAGTTGGAATTTGTAAACAAACTGCTGCAACAAGAAATAAAGAAATTGCACAAGGTTTCAATGATAACCAAAAGGGTTTCCAGCTGCATCAATTATTGTGTGAAATGTGGATGCATTGAGCTTGCATCAGAGAATGCAATCACAGGGTTATTTTAGTTACATGGAAAGATGACTCTAGCAGAGCCAGACCCATCCTTCTGACTGACCCTCTGGCTTTAAGCCAAATATGCCCCAATCCATACGAGTCCCACAAGCCACTGGAATTCACTTATTTCCTACAAATAATAAGGTCATTAGCTCACTTAGTCCCTTAGAAATGAGTATGGACCCAGTAAACTCTTTTAAGCCAGTTGAACCTTGCCAAGGCCCAAGGGAAAGAGTGGTATATGGAAACAGGAGGCACATTTCTGCAAATTCAGCACCATGTGTCAAACTCGTGTAAAAGAAACATTATCAACTACAAATACAGCCAAATTTGGAAGAGGACTCTGATTTAGACATGCAATCTACTCCAACTTATGAACCTCACAGAGCAGCATCAACATAAAGCTCAAACAAGCTTTTTTTCAGAGAAGGCTAAAGCTGGGATCTGGGAACACAGGAACTGTATATATATTTGGGGTCCAGTAACTTGCCACCCATCCCATTAAATGGATGATGGAGAAAAGTTTATCAGATGGTTAATAGCCATCAAACAAATCTGATATATAGTACGCCCATAGCTTTAATAGGGATCCATTTAATGGTTGGTCATGATTTCTGGAAAATGGAAAACTGGAAACACAGATGACAACTCATAGGAGACTCGGATCTGGATAAGAATCCAGTGTCCCCAGACCCAAGATGCACCCTTATAAAAATGAGTATCAAAATTGGTAACAGAACATGACCAATCAATGAAAAGGAGGATCATGAGGCAAATGAGGATGAAGAAGGTTCAGAAGAAGTGTAGTTAGAGGAAAATGAAGGTAAAGACTGAAGAGGGGTTTGGATGAGGAGAAAGGAAAGAAATAAAGGAGTGGAGGCGCAACATTAGTGGATGGATGTTTTTGATTCATCAAATAAACATTAGTGGATGTTTTAATCAAAGGAGAGGAAAAAAAAGAAAGATCTTTTAATCAAAGGAGTACGAGCGCAACATTAGAAGAATTTTGGGCTTGATTGGGGGCGGGAACTGCTGAAAGGGAACAGTAGGGAGTTGGGAAGAATTAGTGAGCACTTGAGAATTTTCAGGGCATCATCATTTGTTGCTGCTTGGGTTGACTAGGCTTTTTAGTGGATGTTTATGAAGTAGTGTGTGGGGGTGGAGGTGTAGTTGTGTCTTATTTGTGTTTGCAGCTGGGTATTGGAATGTTCTGAGTAAGGTGGGGTGATATTATCTTTGTTCACTGTTCGCTGATTTCCTATCACCATTTCTTGTACTATATACCTTTTGTTTTTAACAAAATTTACTTTACTATCAAAAAAACGAAAACCAATGGCAGTCAGCAGTCTCATGTGACACCTGGAGTCTGTCAAACTGAAAGTGCCAATATCCAAATTCATTAGGAAAAATTTGATACTAATAGGAGAATTATCAAACCGTCATTGTAGCAATTTCATTTGAGCACTGAAACATGATTGTTATTCTAATGCAAAGGAGGACCACCCTTTCCACCTAGAGTGCTTGGGCCATAGATGATGTTAGGATAATCCAATGTGTTCAATCTTTAGCCCATAAGATCTAATGATATCCACCAAGTGTTGGGTCCTATACTTGGGCTTGTTCACCTCATGCAGTCATTTTGCTAGGTTGACCCCCAGGAAAAAAAAAACATCATTAATGCATTCCCTGGAAATGAATGTTCGTGTATCCAAATATTCCAATGGATAGGAACCTTACCTCTCATGGCCATCACCAAGCCTCAAAGAAGATATTACAACCTCAGTTGATTCATCATCAAAGTAGGTATCCTGCAATTTTTAATTGATCAAAAAGCACTCAGATCAAATGTTACAATGGCATCAAAGACAAATTCATCTTCCCTAGTTTTTTATCTGAATGATTTATAATTATCAATGTATTAGTTTTTCTCTATAATCAGGAGCTTAAAATTAGAAATAATATACCTCATCATCTTGTTCAAGAGATCCATGGACCTGCAACAGATAAGGTAAACCATAAACATACACACATTTAGGCGAAACTAGGCTAGTTCAGAACCAACGTGACTTCAGGATGCACCTAGTGAGAATTTTAGGCGCAACTAGGCTTAAAGTTGAAAGTTTCAAGTAATAGGCTAGATACTGAGTGAAGGAAAGGACCTTGAATTTTTTTCATGGCTCAATCATTGGTCTCAAGAGTGAAAACCTACTTCAGTTGGATCTGAAGATCAGCCAATTCTCGAGAGGGTTATTAAGATAGAAAGAAATTGAGAGGGAATTTTATTGGGGAGATATTCTTCCAGGTTAGCCTGTGAGTAAAGAGTAATATGAAATTGTACCCTATCATCATTGTAGTTCCGCTCTTCAACTTCAGGAGTTTGGTGTACATCATCTTACCCATTACCTATGTCAACTCATTATCCCTCCTTCCTTTCAACTCACCCTTAAAAACTTATTAAGAATCCTTTCATTCATTTTCTACATCTCCAGCCCAAAGCTGTAGAACATGCAAACTACATGCCTCATAGCTAAAAAAGAATTCAAAACAAACAGAAATCATATACTTCTACTAGTCAGAAGGTTTTAAGTAAACATGCAATACCTCTTCTCCATCATCATGTTCAAACATATTGTATCCAAATGCCGGGATTAAATTATTGGCAAGAATTGCAACATCATAATCTCTATCATGGAGTTCATCTTCATCACTATCCCTTATCCTGTCCTGCAATGCAGTTGGACGGCTGCATAGAATGGATTGCAACAGAGCTTAAAGGTTGATATTAATGAAAACAGAAACCAACCAAGAGTATAAATAGTAGTAATTCCTAATCTCTAACACTTGATCAAATAAACACACACACAACTCGTCAAAGCATCAGATGCCTTTTTAAGCAAACTAAAATTTATGATTATTATATCTCATCCAACATCCATGACATGGTGCTTTCTCCAATAGACAAAGGGGGTTCTCTTTTATAGTGAACAGATAGAAGCATACCCACAGGCCCAGTGGTGAACATTTTCGACATGATAACGCTCCTGTAGAACGTTCACTTGCCAATCAATCCATTCATCATTTTCCTAGATAAAACAAATTAACCAAAATGTAACAAAGTTCCATCAAGTAAAATGCTCAAAAATGATCAAGTGCTCATTTTCCCTATAACAGTGTTATTTGAAGCTAATGGCCTTACAGAAACATTTAACAGAACCCACTTTTCTGATTGAACCAAGGTACCAGAAGCTATTGGAAAATAAAGATACTCTCAATTCTCAAAGCTCTCCATTCACTTTCTTTAAAGGAGACTTTAAAAAAAATTATTAGTGTAACAAATTTGAACACCTACATAACAGTGCAGTTGAGAACAGAAGCATGCTTCCATCAACGATGCCAACCATTCTAAAAACACCTAGGGAAAAGTAGGGGAGCAATCTGGGCAGGCTGGGCCAAGTTTAAGGTCAACGCAGGCCCAACCCTAAGACTCCCGAGACTGAAATCAAACCTGAACTGCCCAACCTAGGTCCAGCCTGAACTAAAATTTGACACTCAGGTGGGCCTCTTGGGCCCAATGTATAAAAATGGCCCTAAACCTATTTAGTATCAGCTTTCTGAACTGTTAGGTAGGAACATTATATTTTGTGTGCATGCATGTACATATGTATAATCAGCCTAGGTTCAGGACAGGCTAGGATTGGCCTGGGCTCCAGCTACCCAAGGGTGCAGGGTGCGGGCCCAGCCCAGAAAATCCAGGATTATGGGCTCAGACCCAGACTCCAAGCCCAACCCATGTAAAATATCAGGGTGAGTCAGTCCAAGCTCAGGTTCAGCCCACCCAAGTTGCACTCCTAGGGCAAAGTACTAATGCTCAACTTTTTAAAGATCAGCTTTGAAGCTGAACTTTGACAAAAACACATCAAGTAATGTGGGGATCAACCAAAATTAGGGGAGTTATTACAGAGTGCAATAATCCAAAAGCAGTCTTTGGGTGCTTCAACAAGAAAGATTCCATTAAATCCATATCTATAGTTCCATTGGAAAGTATTACCTCTAGAGTAAATATGAATTTTCAATAACTATTTGAATTTGAGCATTAGACCATAAATTTCTCAAAGTCAAAGGAAGGGATCTCGCAATACCTTTAGGTATGCCTGGATGTAGTTGTTGCCATGTCCTAGTTCAACAAGCTTGTTAGAAATCCGAGTGACATGGCCAAGGTAGCCTGCCCTTGGCATGTGTCTTCCAGCAGCAGGTAAAGTTGGCTGCTACATAAAACAATACCTTAGAGTTAAGGAATACATAATTACTCGTGGAGGCTTTGCAGATGCATTTGACGAAACCAAAAATCTTCACAAAAACTTATTCTAGTTCAGTGTCAATGATCTGGGAAGTTTCCACATAGCAATAGCTTGGGGCCATAAGGCCCCACAAGTTCCTTTGGCTTCCTTCTTTTCATGGATGAGTTTACAGCTTCAAACCCCTTGCCAGTTGCCACATGTAACTCCTTTTCGATGGGCATTTGTAAATTAAATTATTGGAACTACAGACTGCTCATAAAACTTGTTGGAGTTGGGAGGGGATTGGGAGAGTGAACAGGTGGTCAGTCAAGGGGATCCCCATCCAATGAATGGTTTGGATCAGCAACAGGATTCCTCCATGTCACAGAAATAGGTGGGATCCTCTAGTAGAAAGGGCATGTGTTGCACATTGGAAAATAGAAAGTACCAGAAAAGGTCTATAGGAGAGAGATGGAAGAATGGCATCATAAAACAACAGTAATTATTGATGTTCACAAATGACACACTCCGGACCAGCAGGGGTGTATTTAGAAACAATGGATAACATCAATATTTCTTGTTGGTCACCACCAGAAGAAGGTTTTATCAAACTTAACTTTGATGGGAGCAGCCAAAGCAATCCAGGTTCAGGTATAGATGGTTTATTTAGAAACAAAAAAGGAAGTATTCTGGCTTTGTTCTCCAGACCAGCAGGGGTGGGAAACTCAATCAGAGTCAAGCTCTTAGCAGCACCTCAAGGAATATAGTTAGCAAACAGATGAATATTGATAAATTGATTGTTGAAGGGAACTCCAAGTTGGCAACAGCTGGTTAGAGAACCCAGAGACAATAAACTGGTTGTATAGGGAGGGCTTGAAGAGATTTAAATGGCCTACCAACAATGACTTTGAGAATTCAATGGGAAAGAAGATTGGCCAAGGAATGGCACGCTCTAGCTAAACAAGGGGTTTCTAGGGAACGATTGTTTTGGGTTCAGTTGCAATCTCTTATTGTTGATTGGGGGAGGTGCACCTCATACCTCCCTGTGAATCCTCATACAGTTTAAGGCCTTTTCTGATTAATAAAATTCTTCATTTACTTATCCAGAAAAAAATATTGATGTTCACAAATGAGCAAAGCAACATTATGATTATTTGAATATTTAACTACCTGACCACAATCTCCAGAAAGAACCAAACGTTTATCAGCCTGAAGAAACTTGCCAATTAAGTTGCAATCTCGGAAGAGATGATCAACAATCATATTGTTCTTGCTCTCCAAGCATGATAAAATGATACTCTCTACATGATGATGCAGCAAGTTATTGAATGGATACCTGCATCCATTATAATATCGTATAAAGCTACTGGGAATTGCACATGTTTGGCCAAATAGACAAATGAAATTCTAACTTACTCAAAAAAGAGATCCAGGATTCTCTGGATGGTACCAGAGCTGACCAATTCCTTTTCAGCAACTTCATTGCCAGCCCTCAATAATACTGCAATGAACTCTACAATCTGAAATGAGAGAGCAAGAGGAGAATTAGCAAGGAACACCGAAACTGCAGATCAATGGTAATCTATTTTCAACATCCTCACTATTTACAACACAGAACCTTGAAAAACCCCAAGGACCAATGTCACAGTGATCATGAAAACCACCAACTAGGTGTGCAACTTGGGTACCCGAGTTGAAGACTTCACACAGCATCAAGCACATGCCCTCAGGCTGGACCCACTCAAAATTTAACCTCAACTCAAGCCCAAAAAGTTACATCTTACCAACAACTAGGCTATATGTAGTCCACAAGAGATTTCTAATTACCTTGTACAAGAAGCAGGACCTGGCAATTAGTTGTGCCTTAATTTCTCAAGGAAAAATTTCCCCATCCAGTTCAATAGTATTATTGTTGATGTTCCTCGGTATTTTTTCCTTTTTTCTGTAAATAGAACACATTGCCAATTTTTTTTATCAGAAACGATAACTTTCTTTTTTTGATCAATTCAGAAACGACAACTTTCATTAGAGATAAATTAACCTGAAATACAGAATTCAACCCTTATTAGAAAAGGTTGATCCAATAAACATCAAACATTACAGCACTGCCCAAAAAAGACTCTCCCTTGCAGCCCCTTGTTTTGCTAGGGCGTCAGAAAAACCATTTGCTGATCTCCTTACCCACTTGAACCAAACACCCACCTCCCT